CAGCAAGATCGCTCGAGAAAAAGACATTTCGAGACTCTCTTGCGGCGGCGGATTAATTTTGGAAATTTTGAAGCTATTTGCGAAAAAAAATTAAATAATTCCACAATCGACTTTACGTCCCAAACAACTTACATTTCACGATATGAAAAAAACTTCTTTTGAAATGACGAACGCAACAATCTTTAAACCAAGTGTATTCATTTATTACAATAAACTCTATGCGTAAAAAAACTTGTCAAAAGACGTATATTTAACAGCTTTTAATCGATATAAATTTTATTTAAATTATGAATCTGAAACACAGGATCGAAATTCAATTTAATTTTAATTAGTTTGCGACTTTTAATTAATGAATACAAATGTTCCCGAAATCTATCTTTACTGTCACGCACATCGGCTGAAGAAATAACACTTCGAACTTTGGGCACGAGTAATATCACGTCTCAGCGATACCGATTACGCGTTCTAACGAAACTTTAATCACGACCGTATTTATCGGCTTCTCCCCGCGATTACATCTGGAGCCTCTTGTCACTAACACGGAACTAACACTCGTTTGTATCGCTTTGAAAATGTCCTTTTTATATTTTGTGCAAAAATCCGTAACTGTTTTACACTCATCAATTGCTCAGTTACCGATGTGTTCGGTCTATGTACATGTGTTGCTTTTACACGAAGAAATATTCTACATTTATACAAACGTATTCAGCCCGATGGAGCCAGGATACGCTAATAATTGCGCGGAAATGCATTAACTCTCATGGTTGTCTTAAGTGAATGAAAATCGTAGGACAATACGAAGAAACATTTCATAAAAGGAAATAATTACATAAGTCATAAATGACTTATAAAAAAAAAACAAAAGAACAAGTTTTTAGGATACGTAAATATGAATTTAAAAATAAAATATACATTATTACAATGGAAAATCGATATACATCAAATATTACAATTTTTGACATTCTTGCGGATTTCGCCGTTTTACGTGATATTTCAATCTCAAAACAACTTTATTATATCATCTATAAAGAGCTGTTTTTTTCTTTCAAATGTGATGTGATGTTTTATAAATCATAACGCTATTATAATTTGTAATTCATGATGTTAGTTTTCACAATATACTAATAATTATATAATATAATATAATAATATAATTGTATATATAATATAATTATATTATTATATTGCAGAAACTAGCATCATGAATTACAAATTATAATTAATTATATAATTATATAACAATAATATAATATAATTAAATATAATTAAACAATAATATAATATAAATTACTCGTTTGCAATTACTTTGTTGATTGCACACACGATGGAATTTACGTGACTTGAAGCGTAGAGGAAGCAAAACTGGCCGCAAATCGACCGTGTAGCTCGAGTTATTTCCGAAAAAGAGCAGCTCTCACAAGAAATAAAAGTTGTACTGAAATATGAATATATCATAACAGAAAAGTATATAAAAATATGTCGTAAATTGTAATACTTAATATACGTTTAACTTGTGATGTAGATGAGGTATACTGGTGCAGTTCACCATGGACAGTGAAAATTGAATAATCTCCGAAGTATTCATATTATGTATTTACGAGCAACTGCGAGAATCCATCATCGAAGTCGCGTACTGTACATTTGCGATTCGTCGTAAAAGAAATGAGAAGAAAACGATCACGACACGATGGGCTCGACGATTCTTAAGCGTTGTTAATCTCTGTCGATCGATACGAGTTCTGGTCCGGACAGATTCTCCGACGAATTACACTCGCATGAATCCATTTGATCAGAAATTGTTTCAGACTTGTGTTCGATTGGTGTGAATTCTAGACTGGAAAATGTATTCGTCAACAATGTCGGGAACATTTTGCAAACTGACATTCGTATCGAGTAACGTAGATCCAAGTCATTCTGATAAAACTGACTCGAGCAAGTGTAATTCTCTTGAGAGTCTTGCGCGCTGCGATGAGATCTCGAAGACGCGGTGGACATACTCAACCTTGTTTTGTCACAGTTCCCCACAACGCATATTCTGTTTCTTTAAGAGTACTGCGAGAACAAACGATGTATCTCCTTATTATCATCGTCCACGCGGTACGAAGAGGCGCTTTCAATCGTTTTTCAATGACTCTTGCGATTCATCGCGCGAACATCGTAACGTAGGCACCATCATGCACACGGGCGAGCATTATCACTGATCTGTCCACGCGGTCCCGTGTCACATGAAAAATCGTGTCGCATCGTGTCACCGTTCGCCGGATGATCGCGCAACACCACACGCGAGTTCACTTCCGGTTCGCGGCAGGCGATAACGTGTCTTGCCAACGGCGATAGTCGCTGATAGCCGCTTCTGACAAATGACGCTATTGGTTACGATAATGATGATGATGATGATAATTCCGCTATTGCTGCTGCTGATTCACTTGTTGTGTTGCACGCTTGCCCGCCTGACCAACAGGGTGGATGGTGCGATTGCCGTCGCATTGGCGCTTCCAAAACAAAAGACACATAAACAGCGACATTAGCGCGTCACCGTCTTCACTGCATAAACGAGGTAATGGTTCTCTCGGTTTTTTTTTTCTTTTTCCCTACGCTCCTTCTCTCATTCATTACATCTGACCTCCCCAGCCACGTTTCTAATCGGCCTCTTTTTGTCTATGATTTTGAGTACGAGATCAGTCGATTCGCGCTTACAGCAACAAATAGTCAAATTTTATAAAATTGATAATCTCTCGTAAAATGCAATATAGTTTTTCGCGCGTGTGTGTGTGTATATATATATACACACACACGCGCGCGCACACACATATATACATCTACAGATATACATATATATGATGTATGCTGTACATATGCGTATGACAAACAATCAGCAGAATATGCGGGCCTTGTCTTCTGTCTCACATGTTCAATTGCATTTCTAATAATCACTCGACAAGTGACGTCGAATGAATTAAAAATTGTACAAGAATTAATTATATCCTTCATTTTCAATTAAATTAAAGTAATACTGCAGAGTTCTCTTATTCACGTGTAGTAACGGCGGATACCGGCGATATCAACAAGCTCGCGAGGTGAGATAAACTCAGAGAGAAGGCTCGCAAGATGAAAGTTTTCCCCCGTGATCAGAGCTTTTCACGATCGGCGTCCTCTACCGTGGCACAGATGAGAATTTCGCCCCCTCTTTGTCTACTTTTGTCATTTAGAATTAGTGCGATAGCTTTCGGTTACCTGAAAAAAGTCAACGGAAGAACATAAAGCGGAATTTTGGTAAATACCGAATATGCGTAATTTACGCTCTCATAAATTGTAAAATCGATATATAGATATTATGCTTGCAAAATTTAAAGCGTTAAAAAATGTGCATATCTTCATTCACAATTATTCAAAGGGATGCCCAGCACGTACTAAATAAATGCTAATTAATAGCGTAAATATAAAGTATTGTTTAAAAAAGAGCGTGAATTTTAATCATGAATTAACTTTTGATATAAATGCCAAATTCACATTTTCTCTCTCTCAAAGTATTGAAAATTATGGCCTTTAATCACTCTTCTGATATTTGGTCATTCGTACATTATTACGCAACATAAAAAAATGGAAAATTGTTTAAAAAGTAAGAAATTCTAATAATTTCTTATGTAAATCCAGTAATCTGTCCGGAAGAATTATGGCTTTATATTTGGTTGGATATAACATTTTATTAACTAGAGCATATTAACGAGAATATAACGACAATGTTGCATCCGGCTTTATAAATCAGAAGTCTGCGTTTCAAGATATTCAGAAGTGGATTAACCAGTTACCGCACACAACAAGCAGAGTTGTGCAATAGCCAGCTGGGTCGTCCGGCTATTCTCTGACTCGTTACGCTCTTATTGCTACGGCTTAGCATTGCGAGTCTTGAAAGGCAAATGTGAAAGCCTTCTCGTGGAGAAACACAGTGTCCTAGAAAATATTTCAGTCGCAGGATATGCTATGCAAGTGATTTCTGTTCAAATTTCAAGATTGAGACCATCAAATTTAAATCGTAATTTTTATATTATCTAATAAAAAATTTAGAGAGTAAATTAAAAAATATATAAAATATCTATAATTTTACTATTAGATCTTCTGTAAAAAATATCTCAAACTAAATCTTCCAAGCAATATTTGAATTAAAATTTATTTAAAAAAAAATTTTTATCGTTATATTTTTTTATATCACCTTCTATGTTAAAAGATAATATTAAAAGTTATCATTTCCATTCTTTTTCGATGTGCAATTTCTACGCTCGGGCATCCCAGCAACATGAAGCATAGTCAAACTTGAATCTAACGATCAAGAGAAGTAATTCAACAATTATTTATTCATCGAAATCATGCGATAATTTGAAAGATGTATAGCCTAACAGGCTATCACAAACTACTATAGATATTACTGTAGATAGGCTATTATAAATATACTTGCCAATATCGAAATTTTTTCTTGCGTATTTTAATTAGTTTGTTAATTATATTCTAATATAATTTATTAAAAATATTATTATTATTAATGAGAGCATTCGACAGCAAGCAATAGTAATTTTTAATTTTCATTTGGAGAGAATGTTTGCAATTCTTCACTAGTTAGAAGATGAATATATTCTCAATGTACTTTTTATTTAATATTCTTTTCGTATGCTATAGAATGGAATGTTTTATTATTATCATATCGATGATATATTCTCTGATAACTTTGAAGACAATTCTCATTCGGAATAAATATCAAGGAAAATTATAGCTCATTTTTAATTAATTTTTACTTTTCTATCTTAAATTAATGTTATTTTTTATTTTAATTATTTTTAAAATTAATTTTTAAATTATAAATCTGCCAGTTATTTTGAAATTAATAAAGAATAAAGTTTGCTTTCTACTTATATTTTTGGAATTAAATTTTCAAAATAGTCGTATATAAATAAACAAGAAATTTTGAAAAAAAAGAAATACCTAAGGAAAAATATACTCCAAATTTATTAAAGAATATATCTTTAAAAAATAACGAAAAAAAATAATTCTATAAAATATACGTGTCGAAAATTCTTTCCAAATGACAAAATGTGTTCCACTCCCTTCCCCGATTTCCCGTAATACAATTAGAGTACCATGCCACGGTATTGCGACACCATTTTCCTACTAAAATTAAGCTTCTATATAACATTAAGCTTCTATGCGCGTATCGATACATAAAACACAATCTAGCGTTTTTGCGCAAAGCGTAACACAGATTGCAATTTTAAAATCGGATTGTTACACTCAGATAAATCATGAAACTTGGCGAGTGCTGTAAAAATGCTGTGATAGTGAAACTCGAAAACTTCTATTAATTGCAGATTTTCATACTTAACTATTGAATTCGATATAAATACAAATAGAATCGAAAACAGGCTTAGAATGCAACTCTTCCCCAAATGTGCAAATGTTCATGCAATCTCTAACGAGAGTGTAACAAGCTCTGAATTTTCATCGACGCGAAGAATGAAATCTATGAAATATGATTTTCAAAACAAGTCGTCAAAATTTGCAATCGTGTTTATTGGTAAACTTGAAGTTGATTCTTCTTTTTTTTCATAATTCTTTAACTGACGATATCAAATGTCTCATCAAAATTAGGCTATCCAAATAAAATATTAAAATTTACTTGAAAAATTAAGAGAAAAATTAAATCAGATCTTATTATTTATTTCCATTCCTAAAACTTAATTAAAAAAAAAAAAATCATTAATGCTTCGAAATTTTTTAATTTATAAAAATAGTTCAAATTTAAATTTAAATTTTGATAAGACTGCAAAATTCAACGACCTTTTTAATATCATTATAAATGCATATAAAAACAAAGAAAGTTTTGGATTAATTCTTTCTCCACCAAAACTTTCTTATTATCTACATTACACTAAAAAGACCGAAATAATTAATATTTGTAGAAAATAGCTAAACGTCGAATCATTGTTTGTGCAAGCTTACGGTATTTTTCATAAACGTCCGCGGATCTCAGTAGAGCAAGTTATACCCAGTCGTTTAGTGGATCTAGTCGTTCTATATCGTGTAGCAACTCACTTGGACTTGGGTTGCATTTCTCCTGCAGCGGCTAGAAGCGCGTCTCTACGGTGCAACCGCATGCTGACTCTTCGTTCTTGGCCACCCGCACCCGATGCTGAAAGAGAGCATCAGAAAAAACATAATGCATGAAAAATCGCAAAAGAAATTCAGCCAACATTCCTATGTGTGTGCGTAGTCGTCAACTCGCCGCCACCCTGCCCGTTTCTCGTTAGGATTCGTTATTTTTTGTCAATGTATGTATAAAAGATTAAAAAAAAACTAACTACCGACTCTCTCGGTAATATAGCAGGTTCAAAGGCTTGTACACAAATTCAAAAGCAATCATAAGAGGGGGGGTACAGCAATATCCGTTCAAAACAGTTCTTCAAAAAAACTTTCAAAACTCTCTGACTCTCTTATAAACTCGCCATGGTATTTCTTGGTCAGTACATTCAATCGTGCAAGTAGCTCGCCGTAAGAAGAAAACAAGAGGTAAGGAAGAAAAAAAAAAAAAAAAAAGTCGTAGACAGAGAAGAGCACTCGTTGCATTGCAAAGCACACGTTTTCAACTGATCACATTATGTATGTGTGTTTTATACCCACCATGCCGTAAACCTGTAACCTAAGGCTACTTTCGAGACGAGGTGATTTGTATGCAGAAATCGTAACAATGCGCAGTTTAACCCGAAGATACATCGCCGCTTCGTGAAATTATTATTTGATCGTATCTAATTTTAATTACAAATTTCAATATGTAACACTTCAAGCTCAAACATTTCAGAAATTGAAATACTATTCTATATTTTTGGTCAAATTGCACGATAAACAATTTTGGAGAGAGAGAGAGAAATTATAATACACATTTAACAAACTCGTTATAACATTTTTAAGTAACTTGGCCACAAACTAATTCAATATTTTCTCGGTTTCGTTGTTTTCACCATCTCATTCTGTTCAAGCAAAAATACATTATTTTGAAGCTTATCGCCACTTCTTACAACTACCGTCGCTATCTTTCGAAACAGCGATAGCAATGCAATATGTTTTTGTAATCGTAAGGATCGAGTCGTGTACAGGATACACTCGTCGGGTTGATGCGTCAGTAATAATCACATTCGTGTCATCAAGAATGTCATCCGATCGAAATGGACTCGACATCAACCAGGCGACGAGGGGAGCGATGGGTAGTCTTTCACCCTTGGCAATTGAAATGGAAAAATTAAATGCATAATCGGAACAAAATAAAAAATAAAACAAATGCAAATGTTTGGAAAAATGAATTAAAATGTAAGGAATTAGTGTGTACGTCTCTCTTCGTGCACACAGATGATGCAACAAAAATTGAAAGATTAGCCAAAAAGTAGACTTTTCCCCTTCTCTTGCGCCGACATATTTCGAGGGAGTCCTCGAGGTCTCAGATTATTTCACGCTCAGGTTTTTCCATTCAAGCCAAGTGAGAAATAATTTTGACAAGGATAATCGACAATGTCGTGTGGTGAAATAAATAAAAAGAGACCAGTCCTTGAATGGAAAAACATTTATTTGCTACTTTCTCTTCATTATCATTATCATCATCATCATCATCATTATCATTATCAATAAAAAACAGGCTGATTACAGATTAGGCATACGATATGAAGATCCGTAGACAAGTGAGAAAAAACGGGGAGAATGGACGACAAAGACGATGCCTGGTGGTAGGTAATCTAGTGCTTAGGAAGAAGTTTGGCAGTGTGTCGTTGCGAGATACTTGATCGTGTTTCGCCTAAAGGGAGAACCAAAAAAAGTACTCCTTAAATTATAAAAAAGCACGGATAAAGTAGCAAACTAAGACCTTCTCTTCTCTATCTAAGCTTTGGTAATCTTGCCGCGTCCCCAGAGACGCTTCCGTACAACACATGTGGCGTTTAATTAAATAAAGAGAAAAGAAAAATATCAGGCACTATTGAATTGCGAAGGGTCGACTCGTCAAACTACTTCTTCCATTTCACCAGAACGTTAAACATTATACAAAGACTAAAGTACGTACGCTTAATTACTTGGCAGTAAGCACGTTGGTTGAAAGCTACACTATCGTTACGGGGTACAATTGATTAAATGATGAAAATGTCAATGACTAAAATAAAGGAACACAACATTTTTTTCGTTAAATGCTAAATTATAACTAACAACGCGCTCAATGTTTTGAAAACGAGTGGCGCGATAATGCTGTTGTTAACAATATCAAATCGCAGTACGTGCTCATCCTGATTCCTCTGCGAAGTATGAAAAATATTTTGACGCTTCGTGCTACGAGCTTGATGAGCAATGATAGCAACAAGTCGCAAGATTTCAATTTTAAAGTACAATAAAAACCAGTAGACGTATCGTGAGCTCTAATTAAAAATGGCTTGAAAATAATTAGAGAGATACAACCTTTAGATCATGTTTCACTATTTGTACAGCATGGCTTCATATATGCTTGTGAAACTCTATTTTTAATGTAACGTATGTTATGAAGATTAAAAGTTATCTGATAAATATTTGGTTTCTTTATTTTTATATGCCTTTCGAATGATGTGAAATCGATGTAAAATTATTCATAAAAACGCGTTAGCTCATTCATCTCTATCTTTATCATTAATCTTATAAATATGTAAAACGAAGGGAAGAGTGTAAACTAATCAGAACTCGAAAGGAACTGTGAAAAATGTTAGTCGTTTTTATCACTTGATCGTACAGCATCGTAGATTAAGTATTTGATAAATAATCATGAATTTGCCGCATTAGCAAAAAGCAATTGCGAAACGTGAATGAATTTATCGATATTTTAGAATTAAAATCAATACAAGGACAAATTATCTTCATTTGACATTAATTTTTTTGTACTTTAATGTTATGAGATGTGTCATGATACTCTTGATTGCTATAGTTCTAAATATTAAATAAAAGAAAAAAATATTTAGAGAGCGAGTGAAGTAAAATACTGTGCATTATAAAAAAAAAAAATTATCTACGTCGCTGCGAACAAGTTTCGAAATATTTTACGGTAAGTATTATCAGTCTATTAACTTTCGGTCAGTCTAAAGAATAAAAAGATCTTCAAGGCAGGAATAAATAAGTTACGAGAAACCGTTAAAGCCATATATCCCTATGTTAATGTCGTTCTCACTCCGTGAACTGCGCTGTGCGCGATTCTTTTCGTTTCTTTTCAACATTTAACTTTATCAGACAATAAAAGATACTATACATAATTCAAAAGAAATAAAATTTAGGAAGAATTATAAAATATTCGTAAAAAAATGAGAATGTTTACGCATAGCACGCGAAAAAATATATCGCCGTAAAATAAATTAACCTTCAAAATAAAATAAGTCAACTTGAAAACACTTTCAACATACACAACCTTGATTGTTAAAAATATTAACTAACTGAAATAATTTTAAAATTCTTATAAAAGCCGAATTTCTATTCTTTTCTTCATGATTGTGTTCTCATTGTAGTTACGCTTGTGGCTGTCCGATAAACGTATTTATGTACACACGTGATTGCCTAATATATGTTAATCACTGTAATTTGGTATGTGGATGCCTATCAGTCGCTATCGTAACGTAAAACCTAAACAATAAGGGCGAAACAAAACCTCGTCTAGTTGTTGCGGCAAGAATGCGCGACATTAAGAAATCTTCCGATACACTTTCCGAGAGATTTAAGTGCATCGATTCCGCGTGTGAGGCCGCGATATATAAAACTATCAAATTAATTATGTGCACTAGACACACGTACATTGTATATATGCATGGTAGAAAAATCGTACTTAGGACTCGAAACATTTCACGTCAACCGTTGTACAATCCGAGGCGATCGGATTCGCTTCTATTTGCGATTTAAGGCAATCTTTATTCGTGTAAACGGCCAAGATTTCAATGCGACTAATCGCACGGATAATTCGACGGAGTCGAAAAGATGTCCATTGTGAACATCATTGTATATATATATATATATGTATATAGTACCGTATGAAAATATACGCACAAAATGCACAGGTTGTGAGAAAAATCACGCCTTATATCTCCTCAAAAATATCTCTCATTTCCGGAGTCGATCCGGTCATCGAAATCTTGGTGTGGTTTTTTGCACGAGAGAATAGAGATAGATCGCTCGGTACGTGATGTAAGAGGACGCGTTTGTATCGTAGTACGAAGACTCCGTGTGAAATCTGTTCCGCTCCTAAATGCAGAGGCAGACGAAAATGTCGAAGAGGATGCCCTTGAGAATCTCGAGATTGCCCTGCCGCTTGCCGTGAGCCAGGGAATCGCTGGAGTTCGTGCCGTGGCTAAGAGCGTCCAGATCGTCTCCGGTTAGCCATTCGATGTAGCGCTCCCGCTTCTCCGCGTCGATTTCCGACGGCTGCAGACCGTCCGTATGACTCATATGTTGCAGATTCTGCAGGTACAATCTGCCGAGTTGGCTGATGGAGAATCCGATCTCCAAACTGTCCTTATTGCCGCTCACGGTCTCCTGCGTGGCGACGCTCGCCACGGGATCCACGAGTCTCGATTGCACCGGTTCGGCAGTGTTTGGAAGACTGTCGGATCGCAACGACGACTCGCTCGCGTCCGAATTACTTTGCCTTGCGTTCTTTTCGGTGCCCACGTTGAAAGGATTATTCGAATCGCCCGTCACGCGAAACGTACTATCCCCGAGGTGCGCATCCTCGAAGCGATCGGCAGCAAAGTTGTGCGCAACAGCATCCACCTGATCGAAAGAACCGAGATTGGACTGGGCGGGAGCACGACTGGCCAGCGCGCTTGGCGTTTGTTCAAAAAAATCAATGTCTTTCTGACGCCTCTGTAAAAAATATTCGCACTTCTCCTGATCGGTCTGAGGATATTGGCCGTTAATCGGCTGCTCCTCTCGCTTCAGGAGGTCTTGGCGCTTCTCGCGCTCCCTGGGCAAAAAATGCAAGGTTCTACCGACTCGTTGGAAAAAGCTGGGCAGCTTGCGCGTCTTGTGCGCTACCGCGTCGACGGACTTCTTCATTGACTTCTGCGAATCGAGACTCCTCTGTTTGATGTGAAAGAAGGTGGTTTTCGGTCGCTCCTCCGGCAGGAGATCTAGACTTTTGCAATCCGCGGCCGGTAGATCGACGCTTCTCTCGAGCGTCTCTAAGCTCCTGTACGTCTTATCCTTATTGCGAAAAGAGAAGTTTCGCCGTTTGCTAGTGGAAGCCTCCTGCAACATCTCGACGCTGCTCTTTTTAAAGATCTCACCCTCTTTCTCGAGGAACTCGACGTTTCCCGAGTCGCGACGCATCTCGTAAGCCATGGTGAGACGCCGTACACCGCCTGTCGCGGGACACCTGAGCTTCTTCTCACCGTCGTAATCGGCCTTCTCTTTGTCCGGGCCGCCGAAGCAGTTCATCGAGCCGCCCGAGGTCGCCGCGGCGTCGTCCGCGTCCTCCATCGCTCGCCGAGCGCAATTCGAGCCACCCGTCTCTAAATCCTCGAACATCACCACCTCGCGATCTACGTCTTTCTCAGTTTTATGCCCATGAAAAAAATAACTCTGCTTATCGAGCTGACGAGACGCCGTGTTCGGGCTCCTCTCGCGCATTCTACCTATCGTCGGCTGATAATAATCGCGCGACGTGGCCGCGGGATTCAACTCCGCGGTATGATTAGATCCTAACTCACGTGTACGCCCTAAATTGAGACCGGCCAAGTCTAGAGAGGCCGCCGCGTCCAGCGGCGGCGGCGGCGGCGGCACCGCCCTACTACCTGGCGTAGTTGACTTAAATGTACTGAATTGACACGGATTTGCCACGCGTGTTCCGGCGGAGACGGTGGCTGTCTCATTGCCGCCAGGCGCAGGCTGCTGCGAGTGTCCGACTGTCACATTGCGTTGCGTTTTCCGCTCGGCAATAGCAAAATTCTGTTTGCTTGCGCAGAATTGTTGGTAGAATTGTATTTTACCTTGAAGATCACTCTTGTCCTGATTGTCCTGGTCGCCACGAGTCTCCATCTCGCGTTTCTGCCGGATTGCTCGCAGACTTGCGTTCGGTCCAAGCGTCGGGCCCACCGTCGCTACGGACGCGTTCGGCAAACATTGCCGCGTGTAGGGCCTGAAAACAGACACATTTGTAGAAGAAAACGTACAAGATAATTACGAAGGATACAAGTCAAGTGCACAACATACTATAAAGTAATAAAACTAAATAAAATATAGTATAATAGAACGATGGATTCCAGAAAAACTGTGTCAATCTTTTTATAATTATTCTTAGAAACTATTGTATATTAGCTAGCTTCGTGAAATATGTAAGTCTCGATTAGGTCTCATAATTATTCAAATTGCATGTCATTAGACCATTAAGATTCTAAAGATAAAAAGTTTTAAGTAAAAAATTAAGTAGTAGAATAAAAGATGCCTGTGAATTATATTGTTCATTACTTCTGTCGCGGCCGTTTCTCGATTCAGTGCCCCAGACGCCAAAAATAGAGTACGCTTGCGAGCAATGAAATGACCATGCTATTTATAAACATGAAAAGGCGGTATGGTGTAAGATGCAATCACTAACAGGCCGCCAGTTTAATAGCTGAGAATTTTTCGGTACATCTTTTAAGGCACTTTGTTTCCTCACGGCAGTCATATTGAACTGAGCAAGAAATCATGCCAAATTTTTTTGTCGCACTATATGTAGAAATAAATTAGTTCTTTCGTCTTCTTAGTTCTTTCGTCATCACTCGTGTACGATATAAATAATTAAATACTAAAAACTTCCTGCTCGTCAAGTTCTAATAAATAGCTGTAAGTTGATCAATTGTCGTCGAGTCTATTTTCGCTGAAAACGTACAACATATGTAGGCTAAATTATACATTTAATTCTGCTAATGCAGGACAATAAAGCGGAAAGTTTCAGATATATTTTATTAATCTATACTACCAAACGTAAGTGATGATATACAAAAGACTAATTTAATGTCGACGTATATTGCAGGGAAAAATTTACATAACTCTTTGCTTTTGATATAATAATTCAACATAATTACAATGAGAAAATAAAAATCTTAATAATTGCAAAAGCACCGACCTTGATCGATGTTCTTGATCGTTGTTGGTCCCGGAAGGCAGCGCCGCGTTAGACGGCTGCGAGTGCATGGGCGCTTGCTGCGCGGAGGGTAATGTCGGTTGTCTCGCGTTACCGAACTTCAACATATTCCAGTCGAAGACGTAGTCGTAGGTGAAGCCCTGACCGTGGAACAGCGTTCGGAAAAGCTGTCGGAGATGCGAGTAATCCGGCCTCTCCTCGAAACGTAAGTCTCGACAATATCTTAGATACGACGCGAACTCAACTGCAATAATGAACAAAATATTCGCATAATAATAGAAGCGAAAAACAGTAGATAAATGTTTTGTAGAACGTGCGTAATATTGTTACATATGCTGACATAAACTGCGAAGACTTACCGGGATAACCCTTGCAGAGTTCTTCTACAGGAGTGGACATTTTCTTCTCGGAAATGCGTTCATACTTTTGCCTCTTAGTCGCTGCTTTCAATCCCTGCCAAGGTAAACTACCCCTATTGAAGTACATGAGGACATAGCCCAGAGATTCAAGATCGTCCCGCCGTGACTGCTCAATCCCCAAGTGTGTGTTTATACTCGCGTATCTGTCATAATAAATTAGACAATATTATAACGTCACAATATAGTGAACCTGGCGATAATCAGGATATAATCATTGATCTGGCTAACCTGGCCGTCCCCGTCAGATTCTTGTTTTCTCGATAAGGTATATGCTTGTGTGTGCGCCCATCACGATACTTCTTGGCCAGTCCAAAATCTATGATGTAAACTAGGTTTCCCTTTTTTCCCAGACCCATCAGAAAGTTGTCCGGCTTAATATCACGATGAATGAAGTTGCGACTGTGAATGTAATCTGTTCTACTTATCTGTAGAACATAGAAGTTAAAGCACTGTTATTATAACTGTACACTGCAGTTCATATAATGTGCGCATGCTTCATGCTTCAAAGATCATACGCAGAGATAAATAAACTATTTACTCAATGTTTCACTTATAATTGTCTATGCTGGATGGTATTCGTCTAATTGGTAACACTATTTACTTTATAAAACACAGACATTTTTCCTGAATCCACAAGTGCACCTAAGTGCACTTGCAAAGCTTACAAATAAAACTAATTAATGTCCATATCCTTTTTATTCAATCCTACACCAAAACATAAAAATATCTTTATAAATATATATATAACTCAATAACTGTTTAATGTAACTTTAACATACTAATTAAAATAATATATTGAGAAAGAAAAAGACATTTGTTGGAGAATATGAATGATTCTTGGCAAATCATATAATGACATATTTCCCTGAAAATAAACTAATAAATACTTGAACATAATCGTAACATGACCTTTGGACGCACAATAAGACGTGTGTTTTAAAGAGCACTCTGTGCAAATACATTGAAGTAGCTTCATATGAGAAAAATAAAATGGAAGTTATCTCTGTTAGCCTTTTATCTCAGAATACAGAGAGAAAGACATGGATATAGTATAAATAGAATCCTGTCTTGCAATGCATAATAAAATAGCAAAAAATGACAAACTCCAATAAATAAGATACTTCTCCAAATAATCAGTCTCTAAAAAATAATCATACAATGAATAATTACACATCTAGTGAATTAATTAGTGATTTAAAAATAGATAATATAATCTAACATTTGCATTTTTAATTTTGATAAAAGTAACCACTTATCATTCATATTCATACATTCTGCAGATATAGTTTACCTTTATAATAAAAAATATGTTTATTTACCAATTGATCAGCAAGGAGCAGCACTGTTTTCAGAGTAAAACGTCTTGAACAAAAATTAAATAAGTCCTCCAGTGATGGTCCGAGTAATTCCATCACCATCACATTATAGTCACCTTCCGAACCACACCACTTTATAGTAGGTATTCCAACTAGAATGTTAAGAATAAAGAAATTTGTATTGTTATACAAATATATTTGTTGTTGTATTATTAACTCGTGATAAATAGAAAGCAAAAGATAATAAACTATATCAGTATAAAGTAATATCAGAATACTTCCTATGAAAAGATTATGAAACTCTTTTGCTAGTGAAAGTGACAAAAGTGATAAAATAATTATAAGTGTTTAATAATGACAATGTGATGAGAATGTTAAAATAATGAAAAATGTGTATGATTCCTTATAAAATTTAACAATTATATGCTTTTCACTAGAGAAAATGTGAACAATCTATATCTTTACATACTTTTGTACAGTTCTTTGTTTCTTTTTTTAAAGAAAGTTTTACAAATAACTAAATATTTGCTATTGCAATTGAAACTTCTATGTTACTGAATTGACAAATTTTTCTTTATATATGTTAGAATTATAAAGAAATGCAAGAATAAACAGATATCAAAGATATACAGACACACGTCACATTGGTATGAAAGGAAAGATATTGGATCAGCTGTCCACTAAATGAGAGCACTTCCGATAGCTGCTGGTACAAAATAAACATTCGATTAACACACAGAAATATTGATTTACTTACCGCCTCCTTGCATCATCTTGTAAAACTTGGACTCTATATGCAGCTGCGGATGTCGCGTCTTTATGCATTCTAACTTGATGGCGACTTCCTCGCCCGTGGAAATATTGGTACCTGTGAATAAAGAGATTTAAAAATAAAGAGCCTGTTTACACACATACGTATGCACACACATACACACATACATATACATAATATTCACACATGGCACAAAATAAGAAAGACAAAGAAAAAGGACAAATGGAGAAACAATAAGAAAGAAGAAAGTGGAGGTAGAATAAAAAGAAAAGAGAGAAAAGTGGAAATAACACAAGTTGGCGCGGAGTTTCACGCTTTTCGTGCATGGAATACACGAGATATTCCGTATATTCGGAAAAGGATGGATGGAGAGGGGGGGGGGGGTGAAGGGAGAAAACGGGAGGGGGAGGATGGCATCGAGTGGCAAGCTCTGCGAGGAACTCTCGCTCGCTCGCTCGCTCGTTCGCTCGCGCGCACAAGAAGCCTTACCTAGGTAAATGTCGCCGAAGGAGCCGCTCCCGATTTTCCGTCCGAGCCGGTACTTGTTACCAACACGCAGCTCCATCGTACGTGGAAAGTCCGTGCGACGCCCCTCGAATAGAAAATAATCACGATCGCACGGCTGCGGCGGCAGCAGCGAGGCGACTAATGCACACACCAACAAACTAGCGGAGGCAGCACGGAACAGCAGCAGCAGCAGCTGACCCGTTCGTGAGCGTGGTGGAGTTGGCGATGCTCGGTTCGCGCGCGGCGACGGATACGCGTCGTGCTGGTCGCTCGCTCGCTCGCGTTACAGGCACGACGGCGTCACCACTACCTCCATGCTCGTCGTACGGGAACTCGGACTGATCGATCTCGGACCTACGGACATTTCTTCGCGGCCTAGTCGCGGTGAACGGAATAGCGCACCTCGTTACGATGGCGGTCGCGCTGATGGCGGCGGCGCTGCGCTCGCGCTTGTCGTCGTCGTCGTCGCTTTCCCCGTTGTTGTTGACGGCGCTGCTGCGAGAGACAGAAACGAGGCAGTGGTGGCGGTAGCGATCGCGGCGATAGCGCGAGGCTTTGCCCCCCACGGGGGTCGGTCACGGTGAAATTCGGTGAATGTACTGCGCGCGCGAGGACCCTCACGACGACAGGCACGACGGCGAGACGAGGAGGGAGGAGGAGGAGGTCAGATTTACTTGCGTTGAATGTCGATCCGATTGCACGAATACGCGCGACGACCAATGAGAGTGCGCGCTGCGGTAGAACATCTATCCGCGGCGTCCGAGCGCACTGGTGATGGCACAGCACAATTGAAGGTGCACGAATCCTGATGATCGCGTTCGCAATATCACGTAGCGCGGAAGCACATTTTTCCCACTGAGGGTGGAAAAGGGGGGAATGATTGTGTGAAGCAAACGCTTCTCGTGTATATTATTGTTTTGAAAGGAGTTCACTTTAACGCGACTAGCGCGCCTCCACCTTTTTGACGGTGGTCGGTGAAACAATGTTTTTAGCGTTTGTTTCAAAATCTTGTTTTGCATAAAATGCATAAAAAATTTTTTACATATTATTAAAATCTATAGTAAATATAATAATAATAATAATTACTTTTTACTGTCGTTTTGTTTTGTTGCATTGTTGCTGTAATATTTTTCTCTTCTTATGTCACACACATACTAGAGATGTGTAATTGTAGTTTTTAGTCATAATATATGAATATCTAGATACACTGCGATCTAGATACATGTTAAATTGTCCAAATTTGATGCAACTTCATATGTATAAAAATTACTAGTTCTCAGATTGCAAACTGACGAAGAGAACAGCAGGTTAGCTGTGTCTCTTTTCTTTATAGGTGCATTGACTCAGCATTATCGACCGTAATATCGATATTTATATGTTGGTAACATTGCGTTGTTATTTAGAAACGTAGAGCGCGAACGTTGCACGATAATCGTGTATTTTCTTTGTTAGAACTGCTAAACAAGTGCGAATTTTTATCAGGAGTGTTAATTTAAGTGATGGGCAAGTGCCGGGCTTCAATTATGCGTAAAGACGCTTTGCGGCACAAAGTGCGCTTCATCCCGCGTTTATTTCGCGGACCGCGATGTGACAAATTCGTGTCGTGAATCTAAGATTTTCGAAAGTGAAGTGTGTGAGTTGATTTTTGTTCGGTATTACGTGTAATTAAGTGCGAATTTCGAGTGTTTCTTGGATCTTCGATGAAGCCGATGCGGAGCAGTTTAAAACACAGTCTGCAGCATAATGGAGCAAACAGTGAGTACTTATTCATTCATCATTGAAATCTGCGCATAATTTTAAAGCACGACTATAATTATATCTGTATAATATATGATGTGTAATTGTGATTATTAACCAAAAAGACACGAATTAATTCTGGCAAAGAATTATTGGAAATATGCGTAGATCATGTGGGAGGTAATTTATGAAAAATTTGAATTCTCTACAAAAGGCACCCAATACAGTATATTTAGCAAGTAATAAAATACATCGGTGTTAGACACGGTACAATACTGAAATAATCGTGTTATTAAATGTAATATATACATTTCATTCATAATGGAAATACTTAATCTAGAGTACTAAAGTGTTCTAACTTAAAAAAATATTAATAAATATCTAAAAACGTGTAATATATATTAAGTGACTATCGGCATATTTTCTTACAAGGTACTATGTTATTGTTATTCCAACATCCCTAATTCAAAAGCAATACCAAACACGCATTTAAACTTGTGGAAAATAGAAATTGTTTACTTTCTTTCGCCGTTAGTTTTACTTTCGAAGCTCGGGATGCTCAGCCAGGTGCACCGATGTACTTATGGCATATTCATGTGATAATTTCAATTCAAATAAAATCGTAGTCAAATGCAATTAGTTTCTTTTGATTGAAAATCATCATAAAATGCAATTAAATGTAATTCGTAATAAAATAGGGTGCATCGGACTGTGCCAAAACTTTGTAATACTCTATGATCTACATCTACACTTCTAAATACTTGAGACTTTTGTCCTCACACAAAGATATAAAATAAACACAATTTGGTCAATATCCATAAGGTATACTTACAATACCTTGGCAGACCTTGGCAATAAAGATGGCTTATTAGTCGACTTACTTGGAAGCAGTGTAACAATGCAGAATCACGTATTAGCAAATAACTATTATTTCAATATCATATTTACTTGAGTTAAAAAATAATTAGACTACTATAAGGAGTCATGGAATTGATAATAATTTTAAGCGAATGTAATTTTTTAAAATTGCTCAAATGCAAGTTGTAAAACAATTGTACGATTGTTTTCAACAATAACATGCTATTATATATACAAAATTTTTCTGATTAATCGTCATTGCGAGCAAAGAATTGTAAGCGATTCTGCATAGTTGAACTAATTGATTTATTAAAGTGTGGATTGTCTTAAGGCAAGCTTACCATTTTAATTGATCTTAAGCTGTTCCAAAACATTTATCCACACGTGTAACAAAACAACTTTATTCCTTAAAAGTAAAATTCCTAAAAGAAAAATTTGGCTTTCGAGTACAGGCCAGAGTTAAATTTATACCTACGATACGAGTGTGATAAAAGGTTTTACAAATGACTGACATAAAAAGAATATAATACTATATGTATATTTAATATATATAATATATATATATATAATCTGGAAATAATATATAGACTATCGGTTATATTACTTGTGGCTACATCGTATAAACCTTTGATATTACATTATATTACAAATTGGTATGTATGTGTGCGCATTGATTTGACATTCCTGAACATGTAATCCACGATCAAAACTTGTTAGATGCATCATCGAGATAGCCACGATAATAGACGATAGTAAGGAAAATATATATTTCGGCTTCTGCACGAATTGCATCCCTAAAACGATCCTATATTTTCGTTAATATAAAATAAACGCGAACACAATGTGGAGTGGAAGTATTACTATTTATTAACTATGATATAAATAAAAGTATAAAATTGTCATATAAGTCACTGGAAATTTCACAATATTTTCCGCCGCTGTAATCAGGAATGCCAATGTAAATGAGGATAACGATCAGTGCATATCGTTTATGGTACTGTAGCATACCTTGACATGTAATCGTACATTTGATAGAACATGTCCAGCGTCGTCTTGAGCATGTTGATAAAATTAATTAGACGGAATAAGAAAATACACGTTGCCGTTACTTTAGAAACCAGTTACCCTGTGAGTTTCGTAGGCAACAATTACTCGATCGAACAGCACAAATCTGAATTTCAAAGCGTATCAAAAGATAGATATTGGACAGACGGATTCACTCGAAAACTAAACGTTTTTCAACACCATCTCCGCAACTCTAGAATAAAAATCTACGTTTATGTAGTGCGGTTACGAGTTCATAGCTGGGCACACGTGTTAAGCGTAATGCAGTCTATTGAATTGCATGCGGCATACTTTTCTTATTAAGTCATTATAAACTATGATTGCTCAAGAATGCAATATATTCTAATGCTACAGTACGCGTGCGACGATATTGCCTCATTGTACCTAACTAAATATGCCACGACGATGTTACGTTCCTTTTTTTTTTTTTACGTTTAATCCGTAACACGATCTGTAATCAACGAATCAATAATAGATTCGCACCTTCGCGAAGACGTCCTCCGCAACGAAAAAAAAATTCATAGGTTAATAGACATATCTTGGTCGTACGATGTGAGATTCGTATCTGTTGAAGAAGCGGGTGTAACTGATGCCGCCGTTGTACTGGTTGGCGATTGTAGGGGGGTGGAAGTTGTAGGTAGATGTGTCGTAGGACTCTCCAGAGTTGAATTCCAATGACTTCTCTCGGTGCCATCACCCCCGTCATCCGACACGATTGAGATGTCAGCGATAATACCACTTTCTATAGTGAGAATACCAGTGTTACGGATCGATATCAAATTTCCCGAAAAGTATTCGAGGTTAAAGAAACGATACTTACCAACGCTGCACTGACTGTTTAGCGTAGTACTACGATGATGCGGTCGTGGACTCGTATCTAATCCAAGATTAAGCGTTGTGGGTGGACCGCTGCTTCCACCGCTGCTCGAGGACGAGCTAACGGAAATTACGCTGTGTGGCCTTCTGCTGCAGCGATTAGAGTCTTCTGCCATTGACACCGCTATAGAGTTCCTAAATCTGGGTGCTGTGCGGGCAAAATTTTGTATCTTAATATTCAAGATCATCAAGATAAGCGAATCTCTTTTTTTTTTCGACAACTCGTGAATTGGACTTACTCTTAGAGAGTTGAGCGACGCTGATGGAGCGATCGTTAATCTGATCCGCGCTAGGCCTTATATCTAAACACGGTTTATTCCCAATGCCCATGCTCGACATCTCCGCCAGGCGCACTTCTAAAAAGTAAATCATCGATTGTAATTCGTTGTGAGAAAACGAGCAGGATAGATTAAAGCAAAGACGATGAATCAACCTCTGTTTCGAAGCGCCTGTTTCCACAGGAGGTTGCTAAGTTCCTCGGTCCAGGCCTTCTTAATGTCCTCGCTCGCGCACTGCAACGTGTACGTGTCGCCTGGTTTTCTTTTGCGGAACCAAATCTCGAATTTTGTAGGCGAGTCCGCAATAACGGCGGTCAAACCGATGTCCGTCGTCTTAATACTATGCTTATAGATGTAGATATCCAGATTCTAAAAAAAAATTAATACATAAATAATACTTAATGAAATAAAAAAGATATAGGACGACAAGCAATATTAATGAAATCTTACTTTTCTGTCGGGAAATCTTCTCGCCTTGCTGAAGAGTATAAGATCTTCAAACAGGAAGACTTGACGCAGGCATTTCTTGCCTTTTCCTTGCCAAACTAGAAACTCATTTTGCCGTAGTAATCTGCCTTGTTCCTTTACATTTACCTACAAAGTAATTTTGCGTTATAGATTATAACATTTCTGAAAAAAATCTGTATATTACGTAATACATCTTTTCATTAATAATTTTATTTTATTAGTCCTAGTCATGATAAAAAAAATGTAACGTACGTCGCAATCGCGAAGTGAATCCATCGCCAAAAGATCGTTTCCATGTCGAAGTTGGAATCGCACCATCTGCTCGGCAGCCCTCAAATCCGCTTCACCCTCCACTATCGGTTTCATACCGTCCTCCTTCTCTTCCTTTTCTTCCTTAACGGACAATTGTTCCGACAGATCCGTGCCAGCTTTGACTAGTTGCTGAAGTAGCAAAGCATATTTCCCCATTCGCTGGACCGGCTTCAGTAAATAGCTAGCTAAATCCATTTTATCCCCCAGCTCGAGTTGCTTCTGTTTAAAGAAGCTCGTGCCGTACTCCGCCATCAGCGAATCCGAATTTGGTTTGTTCTTATTGTACAAGGCGTAAAGATAGAACTTTTTCTCCTGCAAGACATTTGTTCAAGTGACGTCTTAATCTTTTCCACATTCCGCATTAAATATCGATAGTGAAAAATAAATGTACTTACATGTCTAAGGAAACATTGGCCCACCAGCATGGGCGATTGCTCGCATTGCTCCAGCTCGCGTAGAAAGTGTTGACTGTGAAACTCGTATATCTTCTCGACATTCCCGAAGATTACGTTTCTCTGCCCTCTGAGAGCCTGCGGGATGTCCTCCCGCACAAGTTCCGGAATATAGTTCTTCGCAATAAAATTTGTACGTGTTACACGCGCGATAAATAATGACATTGCAGGATGATAAGCTTTAACAAGGCGCACGTCGTGATAATTACCTCTATTATGTACTCGAGGGACTTGACGTAGTCTCGTTCAGTCTGTATCATCTCCCTCATTATGAGCAGTATTGTTCTGCAAGGTGAAATTTCTCGTTAACAAAGTCGCGATCTTATAATAAACGTTACGATGGCATAGCGGAAATTACGGGAGAACAATGGATCGCGCTATTGCAGTGACACGGGCGTAGGATATCACGTGTTTCAACGACCTTACCATTGCACTTTGCAATTAATTTCAGCTATTTTTCATTACATTCGACTGTTTGCATTAATTCTTCGCGTCTTTTGAAAATTTTGCCCGTTCCACGCGTTATAATCGTATGGGGAGAAAAAAAAGTTGAACGAATATTCTGCTGCAAAATCATACTTTTTCGCCTTCATTCCCGGCGCGATACTGGCTGATCTGTGAAGGTGCGAATTCACTGGCGGCTTGACCAGCCTCCGTGGAGCCGGACTTCGCGGAGGTGTTCGCGGCGGCGAACAGTCCAAGAGTTGCTCGGCGCTTTCCCGCAACTCGGCGATATTGTCTAAAACCGGCCGACCACCGCTGCCGGCCGATCCAACGCTGTCCATCGGACAGGCGTAAGACGCGCTACTGTCGCTGTCGTCCCAGGATGTCCCTAAAACACGTGCGATCCCGATTTATGGATTATCTTTTCTGTGATGATTACGAGAAAGAGAGAAGGAAAGAGAGAGGATCTTACTCTTTGCCAAAGTATCATCCCAGGAGGTCGACTCGGATGCAGCGAAAGACCTTCTTCTCGCGGGACTTCCCGGGGCGGACGTGGTCCTGGCGATCTCAAGGGCTTCCGCGCATTTGTTCCTGGCGATGCGACATTGCTCCAGCAGGACTTCATTGCCGAGCTTCTCCGCCAGAGCCATCATTTCGGTGAAGTGTTCGGGTGGCAGGGGCGGCCTCGCCATTAAAAACTGCTGGGATCTCCTCTCGCTCGCCAAACGAGCCTCCTGCGCCCACTCGTAGGCGCGATCCTGAAGGAGGCAGCATCTCGACGTGTCCTCCAGATACTCACGTCTGTCCTCCAAGCGAGAGCCGAATCCTCGCAGATGCTGCTTCAGAGATCTCGCGAGCTCGCGAAGTCCGCTCGCGCTCGCCGCCTCGGCAAGATCGCTGCCTTTATCCAAGTGTCTCTGTAACGCGAGAACGAAGACACGAATTAGAATGACGAGCGGCAATTTGTACAAGTTTCGATTATTCAATCTCCGAGGGCGAAGATTAATCCAGCAGCAGATTTGACGCTTCGTATTTTCCTACGTTGCTCGTTAAGTAGTTTTCCCCCACCCAAAAGTTCCGGATCTCGATCTCCAGAATTTCATTTAGAAGTTAGCGATGAATACATGGGTATAACGGAAGTGAGTCGAATATTTCATCCGCCAACTCATAACGAAGGGCGTGATAAAGGACGAGGCTCTCCCGTCTCTCGATGAGACGCGGATATCCCCGGACCGTCTGGGCGCGGAACACCCGCGGTGCCAGACAGGCCCGTCCCTAATGGAGGGGCGATAAATCGACATACGGGGGTAAATAATGTCGCGATAAAGTCCGGAGGGGGATCGCCGCTACCGTACACCGTCAATTCGTGCTCGTGGAAAGGCGGAACACGCGCGTTTACACAGAATATCCCCACGTGTGCACGCGTGCACGCCTCGCCGTCGATATCGCACGCCGAATGATATACGTACTCTCGCATTGGCGCGAGCGTGAAATCCACTTAGACACGGCTCGGCTACATCCTGGAACATAGACTGCCCGATCGAGTGCCCGTGACGAAAGACGCTCTCTCGTCCCACGATCGAAATATGTGCATAGTGTGGCTAAAAACTTCCGGGACGGAATCGATAAAAGAGCATCAATAATTTTGTGCAATAAGATTTTATTGTTCTTAACGATCTAAACGAATTTCCCACGACGTTTAATATTATACTCGATAGGTCGCGAAGACGACGAAAGGCTTGGAAAGCGTGTTGGAAAAGTTTTGATATCTTTCCCAAATTCGTCTCTCTAAATATTCCCAACATTTTCGCTTCTCTTTTAAGCGTAATTTAATTTTGCGGAACAAAAAGGCTGGCTGTGATTTATGGTACTAGATTTGGCTTCGGCGAAACTTTTTGTTTTGCAAAATTAAATTGCGCTTAAAAGAGGAGCAGCTGTATTGAGCATCGTGGAAACATAAAAAACGATAAAATCTTGTGTTGAATTTTTGGTGTTTTTTTATCAATTCACTTTTTTCACTTGCACCGTGCATAATTGTGCGATCGAGGGGCAGAGAAAGACAGACGCGGATAGGAATCTCATCGCTCCACGCACGATTACACGTAATAATATTGGACGACGTAACGCGTCCGCAACAGAAAAGATTTCTCCGGCCGGTTTACTTATTAGGTATACATAACGACGCATTAATATGCGATCGAGGACACGCGGGATAAAATCGGATGTGTGCTGATCGCTCGATGAGGCGTGAGAGGAGCTTCTGTACGAAGAAGAGAGTATTTCGCACGTAACTTCGTCGCTCGGCGCGTGATACGCGCCATGCTGCATCCCTGATAAAAAAATATCACGTCTACCGAGTGAGACACTTTAATATCGTAAGTAGAAAGTTTGCGGCACGTAACCGCTTTAGATGCATTACCATGCTGGCGTTATGCGTTGAAGAGAAATGCGTACGGTTCGAACATGAATGGCTTGGGAAAGGAGTGACGTGAGCTGTTAAAAGTTTTATTATATTATTTTATTGCATTCTACTAGGCGATGACTGTACCGAAGTTACAGTCTGCAAATATTGCAAATGCGATTTTATCGTGTTTTTAGGTGTTTCGTTAACGCCTTCCAAATGTGATTCGCGTTAAGGCATCCAAATATGATTCATATGCAAGTGAAAAAAAAATGAAATTTTATTATTACATTTTTTAAAAGTTTGTTGGTATATATTTTTGACATATTAAAATAAACTCGCGGTAATAAATGAATACGAATATTCCGCAACAACCGCGTATAAATTTTTGAAGCGAAAAAAATGCAATTAATTTAGCTATAAATCTTATATTATATTATCTCGTAAATTTGCATATTAAATTGCATCCCGGGGAATATAATTGCATGAAACGCCGGTGTTTGCTTTTTTACGACTGGCCCGATCGATCGCGAATACGGCACGCTGCGCGAGATGGTCTTCGCTCACCCTGACGCCGTTCGTTCACCTACATGCACGTGACTGGTTCCCCCAAGAATCTCGAATTATCGGAATTACTTTTCTCTTCTCTTCACAATGAAGCATGAGATGCGTGAGAGAAATCTATGATATGTGTAATATCATATTTTTTTCACTTTAATGGGCACTCCTGTATATTGAATAGCATACATATATCACAATCGTATCTCGATCGTCCCCACGCAACGAAATCTGTAGTCCGCTTATCAAATTGTTCTTCAGATTTAATTTGCAATTTATTGTTAATATTGCGAGCGAGCGAGAGAGAAAAAGAGAAAGTCAATCTCATTCCTGGCGACGATGTAAATAATTTGAATTTTTTTTTTTTTTTGTTCAATTATCTATAGATATCACATAATCATCTTACAAGACAAAACCGACGTCGTTGAAAACAAGTTTTGTGATTTGATCCCGTTGCCGGCAACGCTGTCATCGTTACAAAATCAACATACGGTACAATGTGTCTGCGCAATGTAATTACGAATACCGCTGCAAACTGGATTCCGCAAAGTGATCGTCGATTAAATCCGTAAATCAACATTCACCGCGCGTGTCGACAATATTTTTTCGTCTCCGTACGGTTCGCGCGCTTTCCAATCAGGATATTGAATCTTCTATCGAAACGGATCGATTTGCGCTCGGTACATCCTACTGATTATAAGTGGTTTGTAGAGCATGTGAATTATCGCTTCGGGGGTCGTCTCTCTCTCTCTCTCTCTCTCTCTTTCTCTTTTCTCGAATCGTTTAATAAGAGGGTTCGTTCCGACGCGGGGTATAATTCTGTCCGAATAGGCGCGCGACCCTCTTATGCACAACATTACGCATAGGGATGATTGTTAAACATCATGTATCCCCAGCGGCGATTATCTCGCAGCGCAGTCTTTTAAAAGCCCGTCGCGTCGTTAAGTACCATCCACTTCCGCTTCCGAAACGTTTCGCGCGCCTCGCGGTGTCATTAATTGTTTATCCACACGAGAAAACCAACCCGCAGTTTTAGCGAAAGTCTGCCAATGACTTGTTAATTTATTATCGCGCCCTCATTGTGACGCGCGCTTATCTAGACCAGTGCAAATCCTAGATCATCGTGAAAGTATGTGGAGTAAAGTGCAGCTGTATTTATATGTTTAAAAACCCATCGGACAAGCGCCGTGAAATGTCGGACGCGAGATACACCTGTGACACATGATACATGATAAAACTTCAAGTTTGACACGGTGGTTGAAATTGTACAACAATTTTCTCAGGCGACTGTGAACACGGAATATGAATACTTTGAACATAATCAAGCGCGATAAATTACGATAATTGCATCTAAATTGATTTAAATTGCTGTGTCAGTGTGCAAGGAGAACGAGATGCAAAACACATCGATCATAAATATTCAACGCTCGATACACGCCGACAGATCACGTTCAACGTAAATTAAATATTTGCAGAAACCATTTTACAAATTTGCAATAATTGTTACAGCGAGATTAATGGACACGAAAAATCCATTCGGTATAACTTAATCTTAGTAGTCCACGGTTTGTTATTACGCTTGGAAGAAGTAGAAAGGTGCCTCTCAGAGCATAATTGTTGGAGCGTGAAACCAGATTAGGTAAAACGTGACCAATCTCGCAGATACGTAGATTCGTGCCTCGCCTACGAATAATAGCACGCGCGCGTTCATTAATTGACACGTATCGCTGATTATCATAATAAATCGTCAATTAATATCAAGTATCAAGGAAATTCGCAAGGCGCGCGCGTACAAAGACCTCAGGATTAAACATGCCGGACCGATTATACTTTCTAATTATGGCAATACACCGACCGACGTACTTGCCGAGGATGGAAAGTCCTATTGTAAGCAGAAATGTACTCCCGGCGTTGGAAGGATCGACTGCGACACATCCCACCGAATGCGAGAGTCATGAAAGCACCTAATTAACACACTCCGCGATCGGAATCGTGCGGCGTCACGATGTTTCGTAAGCGGGCGACGATTCGTGCCTTCACGATCGACGGCTGGAAATAATTGCACCTTCCGCGCGCGATATCGCTTGCGATCGTCAAGTTCGACGTAACGCGGGCGTAAGCAAATGTACAGTCGATTTGCGAAAGAACAACCGGAGGGAAACGGGAGCGCGGCGGTAAAGAGCGCACTGACAGGTAAAAAAGGAAGGCGAGTCACGCAAGTCGGGGAAATTAATACTCTCGCGGCGGTGATTAATTATAGATGAGCTTTATGAAGGTGGCTGTGCGAGTACAATGACTCACATTTTGTTTGTTCACGGCAGTCTTATAAGGATCGACATAATCGCTCATATGTGTCATACTTTATGCAGCGATGGTATGCTAACAAGTTGAATTCCACTTTGTGATTCAAGCGCATCGCAGGTTATTTATTCCTGCTGCAAACCGCTCGATCTGTTTGCAAGCAGCCGCGAGCGCTCAATCGTAACAGTGTAACCATTCCAAGTGAAACACATTGCGACACGCGCGAAACAAAGATATAATAATAATTTCAGATATATTTAGACAAATTTTGAAACAGTTTTAATTAGATTATTTCCAGTTTACCTCAAATATTTGCAAAACTCGATATTTTAATGTTACTTGACGTATTTGGTCAGACTGTAATACAGAGTTACAAAGTCGTAACTGCAAGAGTCGAAGCAATTCGACGGCATTACGCAATGCTCTATCTACGATGCTAAAGCATTATAAATGAATCGGTCGCGTCGACTTAAATTGACCTATTCTTCACCGATTCATTTAGTGCCAGTTTCCATTAATCCTATGCGGTAAGAAATAAAAATGACGCAAGACACACATATATGAATGCAATATTATCCGATTATTATCGTGCACCGCGACCAATCTTCAAAGTGACTCTGCCAGTCTTCACGTGCTCCATTAAACAACGTTAATTAA